GATTGTGTGTGTGTGGTGTGATTGTGTGTGGTGTGTGGTGTGTGTGATGTGTGTGTGGTGAGTGTGGTGTGATTGAGTGTGTGGTGTGTGTGTTGTATGTGTGGTGTGTGTGTGTTGTATGTGTGTGGTGTGTGTGATTGTGTGTCATGTGTGTGGTTTGTGTGTGGTGTGTGATTGAGTGTGGTGTGATTGTGTGTGGTGTGATTATGTGTATGATGTGATTGTGTCCGGAGGGGGCGCTGTCGGAGGGGGCGCTGTCGGAGGGGGCGCTGTCGGAGGGGCGCTGTCGGAGGGGGCGCTGTCGGAGGGGGCGCTGTCGGAGGGGCGCTGTCGGAGGGGGCGCTGTCGGAGGGGGCGCTGTCCGGTCTGGAGGGGGCGCTGTCCGGAGGGGGCGCTGTCCGGAGGGGGCGCTGTCCGGAGGGGGCGCTGTCCGGTCTGGAGGGGGCGCTGTCGGAGGGGCGCTGTCGGAGGGGCGCTGTCGGAGGGGGCGCTGTCCGGAGGGGGCACTGTCCGGAGGGGGCGCTGTCGGAGGGGGCGCTGCTGCGAGGGGGCGCTGTCGGAGGGGCGCTGTCGGAGGGGGCGCTGCTGCGAGGGGGCGCTGTCGGAGGGGGCGCTGTCCGGATGGGGCGCTGTCGGAGGGGGCGCTGCTGGGAGGGGGCGCTGTCGGAGGGGGGCTGTCGGAGGGGGCGCTGCTGGGAGGGGGCGCTGTCGGAGGGGGGCTGTCGGAGGGGCGCTGTCGGAGGGGGCGCTGTCGGAGGGGGCGCTGCTGGGAGGGGCGCTGTCGGAGGGGCGCTGTCGGAGGGGGCGCTGTCGGAGGGGGCGCTGTCGGAGGGGCGCTGTCGGAGGGGGCGCTGTCGGAGGGGGCGCTGTCCGGTCTGGAGGGGGCGCTGTCCGGAGGGGGCGCTGTCCGGAGGGGGCGCTGTCCGGAGGGGGCGCTGTCCGGTCTGGAGGGGGCGCTGTCGGAGGGGCGCTGTCGGAGGGGCGCTGTCGGAGGGGGCGCTGTCCGGAGGGGGCACTGTCCGGAGGGGGCGCTGTCGGAGGGGGCGCTGCTGCGAGGGGGCGCTGTCGGAGGGGGCGCTGTCCGGATGGGGCGCTGTCGGAGGGGGCGCTGCTGGGAGGGGCGCTGTCGGAGGGGGGCTGTCGGAGGGGGCGCTGCTGGGAGGGGGCGCTGTCGGAGGGGGGCTGTCGGAGGGGCGCTGTCGGAGGGGGCGCTGTCGGAGGGGGCGCTGCTGGGAGGGGGCGCTGTCGGAGGGGGGCTGTCGGAGGGGCGCTGTCGGAGGGGGCGCTGTCGGAGGGGGCGCTGTCGGAGGGGCGCTGTCGGAGGGGCGCTGTCGGAGGGGGCGCTGCTGGGAGGGGGCGCTGTCGGAGGGGCGCTGCTGGGAGGGGGCGCTGTCGGAGGGGGCGCTGTCGGAGGGGGCGCTGTTGGAGGGGGCGCTGTCGGAGGGGGCGCTGCTGGGAGGGGGCGCTGTTGGAGGGGCGCTGTCGGAGGGGGCGCTGCTGGGAGGGGCGCTGTCGGAGGGGGCGCTGTCGGAGGGGGCGCTGCTGGGAGGGGGCGCTGTCGGAGGGGGGCTGTCGGAGGGGCGCTGTCGGAGGGGGCGCTGTCGGAGGGGGCGCTGCTGGGAGGGGCGCTGTCGGAGGGGCGCTGTCGGAGGGGGCGCTGTCGGAGGGGGCGCTGTCGGAGGGGCGCTGTCGGAGGGGGCGCTGTCGGAGGGGGCGCTGTCCGGTCTGGAGGGGGCGCTGTCCGGAGGGGGCGCTGTCCGGAGGGGGCGCTGTCCGGAGGGGGCGCTGTCCGGTCTGGAGGGGGCGCTGTCGGAGGGGCGCTGTCGGAGGGGCGCTGTCGGAGGGGGCGCTGTCCGGAGGGGGCACTGTCCGGAGGGGGCGCTGTCGGAGGGGGCGCTGCTGCGAGGGGGCGCTGTCGGAGGGGGCGCTGTCCGGATGGGGCGCTGTCGGAGGGGGCGCTGCTGGGAGGGGGCGCTGTCGGAGGGGGCGCTGCTGGGAGGGGGCGCTGTCGGAGGGGGGCTGTCGGAGGGGCGCTGTCGGAGGGGGCGCTGTCGGAGGGGGCGCTGCTGGGAGGGGGCGCTGTCGGAGGGGGGCTGTCGGAGGGGCGCTGTCGGAGGGGGCGCTGTCGGAGGGGGCGCTGTCGGAGGGGCGCTGTCGGAGGGGCGCTGTCGGAGGGGGCGCTGCTGGGAGGGGGCGCTGTCGGAGGGGGCGCTGTCGGAGGGGGCGCTGTTGGAGGGGGCGCTGTCGGAGGGGGCGCTGTCGGAGGGGGCACTGTCGGAGGGGGCGCTGTCGGAGGGGGGCTGTCGGAGGGGCGCTGTCGGAGGGGCGCTGCTGGGAGGGGGCGCTGCTGGGAGGGGGCGCTGTCGGAGGGGGCGCTGTCGGAGGGGGCGCTGTTGGAGGGGGCGCTGTCGGAGGGGGCGCTGTCGGAGGGGGCACTGGTGGGAGGGGGCGCTGTCGGAGGGGGGCTGTCGGAGGGGCGCTGTCGGAGGGGGCGCTGTCGGAGGGGCGCTGTCGGAGGGGGCGCTGTCGGAGGGGCGCTGTCGGAGGGGGCGCTGTCGGAGGGGGCGCTGTCGGAGGGGGCGCTGCTGGGAGGGGGCGCTGCTGGGAGGGGGCGCTGCTGGGAGGGGGCGCTGTCGGAGGGGGCGCTGCTGGGAGGGGGCGCTGTCGGAGGGGGCGCTGCTGGGAGGGGGCGCTGTCGGAGGGGGCGCTGTCGGAGGGGGCGCTGTTGGAGGGGCGCTGTCGGAGGGGCGCTGTCGGAGGGGGCGCTGTCGGAGGGGCGCTGTCGGAGGGGGCGCTGTCGGAGGGGGCGCTGCTGGGAGGGGGCGCTGTCGGAGGGGGCGCTGCTGGGAGGGGGCGCTGTCGGAGGGGCGCTGTCGGAGGGGGTGCTGTCGGAGGGGCGCTGTCGGAGGGGGCGCTGTCGGAGGGGGCGCTGTTGGAGGGGGCGCTGTCGGAGGGGGCGCTGCTGGGAGGGGGCGCTGTCGGAGGGGGCGCTGTCGGAGGGGCGCTGTCGGAGGGGCGCTGCTGGGAGGGGGCGCTGTCGGAGGGGCGCTGTCGGAGGGGGCGCTGCTGGGAGGGGGCGCTGTCGGAGGGGGCGCTGTCGGAGGGGCGCTGTCGGAGGGGGCGCTGCTGGGAGGGGGCGCTGTCGGAGGGGGCGCTGTCGGAGGGGCGCTGTCGGAGGGGGCGCTGTCGGAGGGGCGCTGTCGGAGGGGGCGCTGTCGGAGGGGCGCTGTCGGAGGGGGCGCTGCTGGGAGGGGGCGCTGTCGGAGGGGGCGCTGTCGGAGGGGGCGCTGCTGGGAGGGGGCGTTGTCGGAGGGGCGCTGTCGGAGGGGGCGCTGTCGGAGGGGGCGCTGTCGGAGGGGGCGCTGCTGGGAGGGGGCGCTGTCGGAGGGGGCGCTGTCGGAGGGGCGCTGTCGGAGGGGCGCTGTCGGAGGGGGCGCTGTCGGAGGGGCGCTGTCGGAGGGGGCGCTGCTGGGAGGGGGCGCTGTCGGAGGGGGCGCTGTCGGAGGGGGCGCTGTCGGAGGGGCGCTGTCGGAGGGGCGCTGTCGGAGGGGCGCTGTCAGAGGGGCGCTGCTGGGAGGGGGCGCTGTCGGAGGGGCGCTGCTGGGAGGGGGCGCTGTCGGAGGGGCGCTGTCGGAGGGGGCGCTGTCGGAGGGGGCGCTGTCGGAGGGGCGCTGCTGGGAGGGGGCGCTGTCGGAGGGGGCGCTGCTGGAGGGGCGCTGTCGGAGGGGCGCTGTTCGGAGGGGGCGCTGTCAGAGGGGCGCTGTGGGAGGGGGCGCTGTCGGAGGGGCGCTGTCGGAGGGGGCGCTGTCCGGTCTGGAGGGGGCGCTGTCAGAGGGGCACTGTCCGGAGGGGGCGCTGTCGGAGGGGGCGCTGTCGGAGGGGCGCTGTCGGAGGGGCGCTGCTGGGAGGGGGCGCTGCTGGGAGGGGGCGCTGTCGGAGGGGCGCTGTCGGAGGGGCGCTGCTGGGAGGGGGCGCTGTCGGAGGGGGCGCTGTCGGAGGGGGCGCTGTCGGAGGGGCGCTGTCGGAGGGGTCGCTGTCGGAGGGGCGCTGTCGGAGGGGCGCTGCTGGGAGGGGGCGCTGTCGGAGGGGGCGCTGTCGGAGGGGGCGCTGTTGGAGGGGCGTTGTCGGAGGGGGCGCTGTCGGAGGGGGCGCTGTCGGAGGGGGCGCTGTCGGAGGGGCGCTGTCGGAGGGGGCGCTGTCGGAGGGGGCGCTGTCGGAGGGGGCGCTGTTGGAGGGGCGCTGTCGGAGGGGGCGCTGTTGGAGGGGCGCTGTTGGAGGGGCGCTGTCGGAGGGGGCGCTGTTGGAGGGGGCGCTGTCGGAGGGGCGCTGCTGGGAGGGGGCGCTGTCGGAGGGGGCGCTGTCGGAGGGGCGCTGCTGGGAGGGGGCGCTGTCGGAGGGGGCGCTGTCGGAGGGGCGCTGCTGGGAGGGGGCGCTGTCGGAGGGGCGCTGTCGGAGGGGGCGCTGTCGGAGGGGCGCTGTCGGAGGGGGCGCTGTCGGAGGGGCGCTGTCGGAGGGGGCGCTGTCGGAGGGGGCGCTGTCGGAGGGGGCGCTGTCGGAGGGGCGCTGTCGGAGGGGGCGCTGCTGGGAGGGGGCGCTCCTGGGAGGGTGCGCTGCTGGGAGGGGGCGCTGTCGGAGGGGGCGCTGTCGGAGGGGGCGCTGTCGGAGGGGGCGCTGCTGGAGGGGGCGCTGTCGGAGGGGCGCTGCTGGGAGGGGGCGCTGTCGGAGGGGGCGCTGTCGGAGGGGCGCTGCTGGGAGGGGGCGCTGTCGGAGGGGGCGCTGTCGGAGGGGCGCTGCTGGGAGGGGGCGCTGTCGGAGGGGGCGCTGTCGGAGGGGGCGCTGTCGGAGGGGGCGCTGTCGGAGGGGGCGCTGTTGGAGGGGCGCTGTCGGAGGGGGCGCTGTCGGAGGGGGCGCTGTCGGAGGGGCGCTGTTGGAGGGGCGCTGTCGGAGGGGCGCTGCTGGGAGGGGGCGCTGTCGGAGGGGCGCTGTCGGAGGGGCGCTGCCCCGCCCGGCCCGGCTCCGCTGCCCCCTGGACGGGGCGGCAGGCGCGGCTCCGCAGGCGGCCGCTGGAGGGCGCTGTCGCCCTTGGCCTGCGGAGCCGGCCGAGGCCTCGGGAGCCGCGGGCAGGGAGGGGCGGGCAGGGGCGGTGGGGACCCGGGCGGGTGCGACCCGGGCGGGTGCGGGTGCGGCCTGGATCCCATTAGCGAGGGCGGCGGCGTCTGGCCCTGCGGGAGGGCGGCCCAGGTCAGGGCGCCTGCTCCGGTCAGGGGGTGACCGGCCTGCGGGGAGCGGGGGAGCGGGGAGGCCCGCGCGCTGGGGGTGCGGGGGGGGGGACGGTGGAAGGCGCGGTGGGGTGATTGTGGCGATGGGGGGGTGGCGTAGGGGGTACGGTGGGGGGGGTGCGGTGGGTGTGGTGCAGGGGGCATTGTGGGGGGTGGTGGGGGGCGCGGTGGGGGGTGGTGTAGGGGGCATTGTGGGGGGATGGGCCCCCGTGCGCCCCCGTGGGGTGGGCACGGTGTAGGGGGGCGGTGGGCCCCCGTGGGGTGGGCACGGTGTAGGGGGGCGGTGGGCCCCCGTGGGCCCCTGTGGGGTGGGCACGGTGTGGGGGGCGGTGGGCCCCCGTGGGCCCCCGTGGGGTGGACACGGTGTGGGGGGCGGTGGGCCCCCGTGGGCCCCCGTGGGGTGGGCACGGTGTGGGGGGCGGTGGGCCCCCGTGGGGTGGGCACGGTGTGGGGGTGCGGTGGGCCCCGTGGATGGGGCTTCGAGCCCAGGCCCGCCCCAGGCAGAGCTGCCCCCTCCTCCCTCCTCTTCTTCACTCTTCCCTTTCTGTTTTAAACTTGGGGTCGGACCTGGGGCTCGAACCCGTGCCGCGCTGTCCCCAGCTCCCCCCTGGGGCCGGGCCGGCCTGGTGATGGAGGGAGGTGGAGCCCAGAGCCGGGGTGGGGCGCCGGCCCACCTTCCACCAGGCTGCGCTGCAGGGAAGGCGGCCCCGCTTTGGACCCGGGCCTGCGCCCCGCTTTGGCCCCGGGCCTGCGCCCCGCTTTGGACCCGGGCCTGCGCCCGCTTTGGCCCCGGGCCTGCGTCCCGCTTTGGACCCGGGCCTGCGCCCCGCTTTGGACCCGGGCCTGCGCGGCTCTCCAGGCGGTTGCCGGCTTCCGGCGGATGCGCTTCACTGGTGACCAAGACGCGCGACCCCCAGAACGAGCACGAGGGGGTCACGCTTTTCCCTTCTTCCTTTTTTCTTTTCTTCTTGTTTTCTGTGCCGGTACCGGGGCTCGATCCTCCACTCGGCTAGAAGAGCAGCTGGAGCACCCCTGAGCACAGAAGCCCAGGGACAGCCCCCAGGTGATGAGTTCAAGCCCCAGGACCCACACACGCACACGCACGCGCACGCGCACACGCACATACACACGCACGCGCACACGCACGCACACACACACGCACGCACACGCACACGCACACACACACGCACACGCACGCGCACACACACACGCACACACACTCACTGTGGGATGCACATACAGTTTGTATCTCCACCGCATGTTCGTGTTTGGTGTTGCTCAACACACGAGTGCATCCTGGGACGGGAGGCATATTGCCTGGGAGCTAAGAAAGCACAGAGTAGGCCAGAAAGACTTTGGGGCGTGCCCTTTGGAGCCTACATTGTACCCCCCACCTCGGGCTCCTGCCATCGGGAGGCTCCAGGTGAGCAGAGTGTGTGGAGAGGCCTCTGAGGCTCCTACTCGGAAGAGTCTCTGAGCCGTCCTGGCTCCTGGTGGGTTGACCACCTGAAACAGGAAAATGACCTAGGGCTGCAGGGGAGCACCGTCCAAATTCAGGACCCTTAGGGACCTGCAGAGGACCACCTCTCAGAAATAAAGACGCCCTGAGCCCCGAATCCTTCCGTGGCCAACCTCGCCCCCAATGCAAGGGCTGCTCACTGACGGCTGTGAAATGTAGGCCTTGGGGTCTCTGCTCACAGGACCTGCTGCAAAGACTCCGGCTTCACCTCTCCAAGCACCTTCATCCCCTCTCCATCCCTGACCCCACAGCCCACAGCCCCGCATGGCCTGTGCACATGCTGGCTGACTTCTGCTCCAACAAGCTCTGTAATTACCTCCGCCCGCCTTCATCCCGTTCATTTCCTCTCATTCACAGGGAAGCGTGCGAGCTCTTCATGAAATCCTCGTTCTTCATGCGCATGCTGTGGTGCTGCTGCGTAGTTTCTCAGTTATGGCTGAGTGGCAGCTCCAGGATGGGAGGTGGGGTAGTTTGCTACCCATATGCCCCTGTCCAGGCTACTTTCAGGCTTCAACGTCCCCGTCTGGCTGGTTTACGTGTGTGTGTGTGTGTGTGTGTGTGTGTGTGTAATTGGAGATAAGAGTCTGTTGGCCCTGAATCTTGATCCTCAGATCTCAGCCTCATAAATAACGAGAATTATGCTTACAGGTGTGAAGTGGATCTCTTATTTTCCCACCTAGATTAGAAACCTCTCGACAGCAAGAGCAGAATTTTCCTGATATTTAGGTCCTCGTGGCTTCTTAGTTTGCCTTCCCATGTCGCCATGTTCCACCTGCCAGGATGGTATCGGTTGTGTGGTTCTGTAGCTACCTAGCTTTTTGTGTCCACAGGCAAGCTAGGCCTTTCTTGATTGAAAGGAAGTGCCTGAATTTGTCTATTAGCCAATCACAGTGCCTGGCATGTGGCACACACTCCATGAATGTTTGTTGAAAGAACAAATGCACTCAGACTTTGTGGGAGAGCGCTGACTGTAAGACGTGGATCATTGTGCTGCTTTGTGAGCAGGCTGCAGCCCACAAGGGGTTTGCTTCTGCAAATGCGATGCTTCTTTGTTTCTTGGTGTGCTTCCCCCTCCCAATTCGGTATAGAACTTGAACAGATTAAACAGGACTCAATCTTGAATCCACGATGACACCGAGGCTGAAATGACCCTGGGGTTGGAAGCGATCAGGTCACTTGAATTTTATTTGGAGGATAAAGTTTGCCTTCTGGGAAGAGAGATGCTAGTGAAAAAAAAAATCACTCCCTGACTACAATTCAGAAGTAATAGGAATTTGGCTAGAAATAGGATCTTATGAAAATTCTCCAAGCAAAGCATCTTCTTTCCATGTCTTGGCCTTCGGGCTGGCATTCCAGTGTTAGCGTTTCTCTGGTTTCCGGAGCTCAGGGTGGGGACAGGCGCCAGGGTACTGGGCAAGCAAGCCGACGGGCTGGGCATGAGGGCGGCCTGCAGAACATTTATAGAGCTTATAACACGTGGACAAGCCCAAGGCAATTTGCAAGGATCTGAGAGATTTGTGTTGTTGTTGTTATAAATGTCTGTATGATAAAATGAGTGAATCTCAGGATTGGACTGGATCGGAAAGCTGATCTCATAAAAGAGGGCCTCCGCTTTACTGGAGAAGATCTGTTTTCCATATCCCAAACATTCTATCTTGTCACGGGGGGTGGTTGGTGGAGTCTGTTAAGTTATAAGATAAACGACAGGCAAAAATGGAAATGTGAGTCTTCCTTTCTCGTGAAGCCTTGGAGACGGGACGAGGCAGGGCTGGCCAGCCATCTCCACCTTTCGGCGGTGAACCAGGGAGAGAGAGCGGGAAGGGAGCCAAGGATGCACATTAACCAGGAAAGATTCCAAGATCCTGTGGATTACTGCTGCTCCAACTTAAAACTTCATCCACTCACTTGGCGCTCTGCCCCCCGATTCCCCAGTCCTGGGGCTTGAACTCAGGGCCTGGGCACTGTCCCTGAGTTTCTTTCTTTTTTTTTTTTCTGAGTTTTTAGTATAACTTTACTAGTGGTACATTCTTTAGCCCAGCGATGGTCTGTATAAATCTTTTTTTAAAATTTTTTAATTTTTAATTTTTTATTGTGAAAATACCGTACAGAGGGGTTATAATTACATGGGCAAGGTAATGAGTACATTTCTTATCAAGCATTGTTGCCTCCTCCTTTGTTTCCCTTTCCCTGAGTTTCTTCTGCTCCAGACTAGCACTCTACCACTTGAGCCACTGCACCACTTCTGGCTTTTTCTGCTTATGTGGTGCTGAGGAATTGGACCCTGGGCTTCAGGCATGCTAGGCAAGCACTCTACCACTGAGCCACCTTCCCAGCCTTGACTTGGTCAAGGCTTAGTCAATGCTCCTTTGGATTCAGGAGGTCTGGGATGAGGCCTGGGGCTCTGCATTTCTGACAGGCTTCTGCATGCTGCTACTGACACCTGAGCCACCCCTTGAGGGGTGAGGTTCTGGAGGTGGAGTGCTGTTCAGCCTGTTGGGGGTAAATCCCCATGGCAACCGCCCCCAAAGGAGAGGAAGCAGACCCTTGGGTGATAAAAGTTCACTGAAAAATTTACAACTTCTAGGGGGGTCACCCTAGATTTCCAGATTCCTGCTTTTGGTAATAGCAGAGGCAGGAGATCTTTTTTCAAACTTGTGGGTGTTATTAAAATTCTTTAAAAAAAAACCCCGTATTATTAAAATGCAAGGAATTATTAGGATTATTGTCATAATTGAATAAACTCTAAATCATCTATGGAGCTCTGGTAAGTACTGATGAAGAGGAGCTCCATTGCCTGTGCCTTTGACATCTAATTGCTTGCAAGTAATGACCAGGACAAAGAGGACTTGGCCAGATGTGCTGGTACACTCCTGGAATCCAAGTACTTGGGAGCCGAGGCACTGGGAATTGTGAGTTCAAGACCAGCCTGGGCTACATAGCAAGTTGGATTACACAAGGCTTAGTCAGAATAGAGCACAAACCCGATTGTTTCCAAAGGGCTTAGAAATGTTTTTCCATAGTTTCTGGCATGAGAAGTGTATTTTAACACGAAGAGCAAGAATGAGCATATTAGGTGGAAAATGAAGACAGTAGTTGAGACTTCTATTTTTTTTTTTTTTAATTTCAGGAAAGCAAGACAGGGAGTTTGAGTTAGCTTTCCTTCTGGAAACTAGAAAAAGCACGGGCAAGAGATGCAATTCTCAAATGTTGCTGTGTTCAGCACTTTTGGCAGCAGGTTAAAGCATCTGTGAGGGTGGAAGCCAGGATCAGCACTCTGACCAGACTCACTTCTGGTCCAGGGTCAAGGATCAAAGACGGTTGAACTTAGGGTAAAGAAAGGCACGGTGGACGGCCAGCGGCAAGCCCTTCCTTCTTGTCGCCCCGCACACGTTAGTGGCGAGCAAGGCAGTGCATAGCTGGTGGGTCTGGGGACGGGAAGCCGGGATTCCCCAGCAAGCGGGTGAGTTTTGAGCAAGTGCGCACCAGGATTCGTTTACCTTCTTGGCGGAGCAGACCTGCTGGTTCTGCTTGGGGAAAAGAGACTTCCTGAGACATGAGGTAATTTTTATAAAGGGGAAACACATGTGGAGTCCTGCAGTACAAAACAATCTCAAGGTGCTGATAACTGGTACTCTCAGTCATGTGACCGGAGACAGGCTATGGCCCCACAAGGCCCTCCGGAAGCCTTTGGGACTGGGGAAGGGAGAGAGAGGCAAAAATCTGTGAAGCTTTTCAAATACACAGCCTCCATGAAGTTTATGAGAGTCTGGAGGAAATTCTTTTCTGTTTTCAGTTTTAACCATCTTTCTCCTTATAATAAACTCTGACATGTAGGCTCCTTTAAAAAAACAACAACAACAAACCAAGATGACAGCGAAGGACTGAAAGAGGTTTGAGCTAGGCCTTGGGATGAGCAGCTAGAAGTGTGTGTGCAATGACTTGAGATTGATAAACGGTGGGCCAGGGAAAGGGGGATCATCCAATAAGCAAATGCATACTTGAAAGTCGGAGACGATTTTGTAAGATCCTTTAGGAAGGATTATCATACAAGTGAGTGGGATTTTGGAGTTTAAATATTAACATCTGGTCACATTTAAATAATAATTATGTGAACAATAACTAAAAATTTAAAAGTTCAGTGTTGTAAAATAAAATAACTTATTTCATGTAGTCTTTATGGGCTCCAAATGTGCTAAGGGCTATTTTTTTTTTAAAAATACTCCACGTGAGGCAAATTAGTGAAAAGGTAAGAAAAGGTTTTTATTTTTGGGTCCCGTCGTGGGGCCTGAACTCTGGGCCTGGGCGCTGTCCCTCAGCTCTTCAGTTCAAGGCGAGCGCTCTACCACTGGAGCCACAGCGCCACTTCCGGCTTTTTTCTTTTTGCTTATGTGGTGCTGAGGAATCGAACCCAGGGCCTCAGGCATGCAAGGCAAGCACTCTACCACTGAGCCACCTTCCCAGCCCGTAAGGAAAGGTTTTTATGCCGGCTCAGGAATGCTGCATTTCCATTGTCTTCTGCCATGCATTAGTTCAGGTAAAATGTCTATAGTATAATATATGTGTTCTTCCTTTGTTTTCAATGAACAATGTACAATGCAATGATTATTCCCTGAGGAACTGTCCTTCAGGTTGTTTTAATTTTAATTTGTGAAGAAACGAGTGAGCCCCGGCTGCCTCTACTCCACCATCTTGTTCCCTCCATCAGTGGTCATGAACCTAACACTTAGGGCTATTGTAAATC